TTCATGGATCAACAGATGCAAGACCACAGTCAACCCTGTTTATTACAGAATAATGTAACAAAAGGATTAAAAGGGCAACACCTGCTGACACACAAACAATTAGTTTAAAAAAAAAAAAAATCAAGAAGCTTCAAATCTTATTTACTCCCAGGATGAAGAAACAAAAATTCTTCAGGGAAAGCATTCTAAACCAGAAGTATATACTATCACATGATACTTTTTTAATTTAATATTAAGAATACTTTTTTAAAAGTGTTCTCTTAACCTTTGATTCCTATGAAAAAACCACACACCTGGGGAAAATAGTATCAGCCTGGGAAAAGGTGTTCCCTTGTTCAGCTGAAAAAACCTTATAAAAAAGACTTTGAAAAATTAAGATAAACTGCAAATCTTCTCTCAAGAAACATAGGAAATAATATTATCATTGTAGAACAAGTTCCTACAGCACATAATCATAAGACAACTATCACGCAACACAGTGGAGCTGCCACTGCAATCAGGCATCCGTAGCATTTCAGTTTAATGCAATAAAGAAGTTGGTAGCTGGTTTTGTGTCTTTTTCTTTAACTGATTAAACTTTTCTATGTATTCACCATACGTGATTTTGTTTTAAAAAACAATGAAGAAAAAAATAATCACATAGCCTTCATCCACTGGAAAAAGAAGGTTCTTTCCCATTATTTTTAAAGCATTCATTTTCGCAAATCTAGCTTACAAGGTGTGAAATGGCAGAGGTAAATTTGATAGTATCTTCTACTGTGAAGGCACACCTTGAAAAGTAAAACAGAGTCCCTTACTACATTTTCAGCAAAGTCAAATCTAAATACTAATTTAATGTGTATTTTTGGACGAAAAGTAAACCAGAAAAATCATTTCAACATGTTGCATTTCAACATGTTGCATTTCAACACGCAGCCCAGAAAGCCAACCGTATCCTGGGCTGTATCCAGCGACGTGTGGCCAGCAGGTCGAGGGAGGGGATTCTGCCCCTCTGCTCTGCTCTGGTGAGACCCCACCTGGAGTGCTGCGTCCAGCTGTGGAGCCCTCAATATCAGAAGGATATAGACTGGTTGGAGCGAGTCCAGAGGAGGCCATGAAGATGCTCAGAGGCCTGGAGCACCTCTGCTATGGGGACAGGCTGAGAGAGTTGGGCTTGTTCTACAGCCCAACCACTAAATGAAGAAGCTCTGATCTGGTTAACCTCAAAGTGTGATCATCACCTCTTCTTTTGTGTACAAGTAACAACATTTTTGCTAGCCAAACACTGAAAAAGAGGTGTTAAAGTCAAACAAGTTGCTTCAGCAAACTAGGTGAAAACTAAGTTAATTTTAAAGATTTAATTAAAAAAAAATTTGACAGTGAACTAACTTCCCAGAAAGCAGAGGAAAGGGCTCTTCATCTTAGCTGAGATAGCATTCCTCCATTTCTTATTGGACTTCTTTTCTTTTTCCTTTTTCTTCCTTTATCTGCTGGAAGCAGCAGTTCTAGGGAGCGATGACTGAAAAGCAGTGCTTCTTTCCTGATCCATACAAACCCCAGATCTTTTAGGAAACAAATTATGTTGAATGCTACAGAACGAGAGAATTTATCTGCTATCACTTTGCTATTTGCTACGTAATTTTACCTCCTTCTGATGAATTTTTTTTGGTTCTACAGCTGTATTAGTCACAACTTACATAAATTAGCCTTTTAATGGACAAATTTGCTGTAAGAGTTCTGTGAAAGGCAGGTAGAAACACTCCTGACAATCCAGACATTTTGTTCTGACAATATTAACAACGTCTGTTAAAACCATTAGTACGCAGCTGAATTGCACAGCATATGCGCTCAAGTTGTTGAGGTTTAAATTAGCAAGCCATTATGTAAGCAAATCTTAAGCACCATTTAAAGGAACTAAATGACAAACACCCTGTAAAAACACCTGACATACAACTAGGGAAATGTTTCCAAGTTGTCTTTCTTTTAGAGTATAATTCACTGACTTCACATGAAACCAAAACCACTTTCAGTGAAAGCCAGATCAGAAAGGTGAATCTCTAGTATTTCAGCACTAATAATCAACATTACTTTCTGCAATCACATAGTACTAAGTTCAGTTAAATCAATTCTTATATATCTATAATGTATTTTACATCCTGATTTTGTCACTGTCATCCTTGACGTACAGAAATACAAAAGCAAGCAAACCACTCTCTTCTGCACAACTTAAGATTCCTGGAAAACATTGGAAAATGGTGATAAAATTATTATTCATTGTTTGTTCTCAACTCTTTTCACTTTAATTTTGGTCAAAACTTGTAATCCTAATGAAATCTGTAGAATGGTAAGCTGATCGCTAGGGATAAATAAATGTATGGCTTAATCTGGAACTTGGATCTTCCACCTAATTCTGTTCATGTCATACACATTTCACCTAGTTCAAGACATGCACAGCAACTCACAAAATCCTCTAATTTTGATTCAAAGAAACTGCATTCGTTCATTCAAAACCACTTTTGTACCATAAAACATAGGTCTTTTGCTGTAAGAAAAAAAGAAACAGAGACAGACGACTTCATGTATCAGGTGTTTGAAAAGGAAATGCAACTTGTTGCATCACCTAAGCAAATATTAGGAAAAAAAGTTTTACAGGAATGATGCAAGGAAAAAAGTTGTATTTTCAGGTGGTTTTTGCTCTTCAAGGCTGTGGTACCAACTGGAGGGAAGAACAGAGCAGGCCGTGGCAGGCAGGCCATTGGGAGGACTGAGCCAAGGCTCTGCCCACTCCTTGCCAAACCACGGAGAGAGAAGCGCCAGCTGGACACGTTGCTGGCTTCTCCACTGCTGTAACAACCTTGATAGTCCACATCAGAGGAGAGAGGGAATGGAGAGAAGTAACCTAAACCCACCACCCTTTTGGCAGTTCTAACACTGGTGTGCCGACAGGACTAGAAGGATCCAGAGCGAACACGTAGTCGCTCTATAAGGAACAGACATAACTGAGAAAGCACTGCGACAAATTAAAAACAAGTGGTCACTCCTGCCGGCTGTTCGCTAAGCACCTTCATGACCCCCTTCTGAAATGCCATCTCACGTAAAATCTGGCACTGGTAATATTAAAAGTAGATAGAAATGCCCAGTGCTCACAGTGAATAGGATGCCACACGCACACGGCACTGTTTCTGAGTACTAAGGTGATACAGAGGAAGAGAACACGCTGTACTTTTTCTGTACATCACACACCTGCCAACTGTTTTCAAACCCAACGGTATTATTACTAGCATTATCAACACTGATTACTCTCACTGCACAACTACATTTAAATCTAATTTGAAAAACCAAACCAGCTAACAGCCCTCTCATCCGACGATGCTCCCATTAAACGTGGTCTGCCTGGAACCGTATGGAAGGAGAGCAGGCTCAGGAGAGAAGTATTGAAGAGCTAACCAATACTCAAAGAACACGGAAGAACTTAAGACACATATTTAGGTATGAGTTTTGACATATTAGAATAAGATTCACTGAAAGTTATGTGCCTCATTAGTTACCAGGATGTACCAGCCATTGCCAATTCATTTTGCAAGTATACTGTTGTCATCTCTTGGCAAATCTAGGATGCCTACTAAGTTGCTCTACAAGGAATCAGTGTGCTGGGATATCCTACATCCTTTTATATGAAGAGAAAACATATTAAGTTCTGCTATATTTTTTGAAACAGTCTTTAAAATATATTTGGTACTGTGAAAAGGGAAAGAACAGCTTTAAAGTATTACATTATCTATACCTCAGCTTAAAAATACTTAGCTAGAAGCAACAGTTGCAAGGGACCTTTTAAGGACCTAACACATTCCCCTACAGTCACAAGCAACCGCATCACATAAATCCTTCCCTAAACTTATCAATTTTAACCTTTAAAATTTTATTTTTAAAGGTTAACAATAACCTTCTAAGGTTGAAAATAACCTTAAAAATAACCATGCTCTCCGAACACTCCTGCCCCAAAAAAACACTCGTGCAATACGCAGGTGTGATAGAAATCATTTTCTCTGGGTGTTGCACAGTACTAAACTGCAGGTTACAGCTACGCTTTGATGTAATTTGGGGCATACCAGCACTTCATAATGCAAGCGTAATACCACCAACCACACATCAAAAACTACATTGGACTGTAAAGACCTTACACTCATGACAGCTGAAGTGCCAGCAAACGCTGTCTAATTCCTACTACCTAAGACTCCAAGTTAAAATCTGGAATACCACCTTTTGCAGACCTGCCTGAGAAGAGGCAGTAAGTGGAGATGTATTGTTCTGCTCCAGTACTGCCACCCCCTGCTCCGTGCACAGGGCACAGAGATGAACGGGGAGCTACCCTCACCTATTTCAGATAAGGCACCGGCATTAGTGGTGAATATGCCAGTCCTTGATCCTGAAAGTTTTGTGGATTTTTGGAATGGTGACTATGGATTCACAAAGGATTCACTGCATCTTGCTCACTATACTTATGTCCAGTTTTAAGAGGTTATACTTTGCCTAGGAATATTTTTCCATATGTAAATTAAAAAGCTGATCTCACAAGAATTCCCTGAATTTCTGCTGCAACCAGAAGTGAAACATAGCAAACCATGTAAATCCATGTAAAATACTACATCAGATTTCCTGAAGCTGATGGAAGGACCTTGCATGCAAAAAGTTAAATAGGTAACCAAAGACACTTTTATGAAATAAAGTTTTAGTACAATTCATTACTTCCACTAGTTTTTAGCCTATTAATAATTCTCAGTTCTTAATTAATTTTATTAAATGTCCTAATTTTGACAACAGTCTTGGGTTTCCTTGCTCAGCTGTCTCTGAAGCGTATGCTCAGCTTGGGGATGGGCAGGGCCTGGGTGGTAGGATCCCTGTTCTTCCCACCCCTCCCCTTTGGATGATTTTTAAATTTCAGTCCAGATTTGTTCATTAATATGTTTCCCAGTTAACTAACAACATTATAATAATAAATGATAAAAAGCATGGATTCTAACCACTTTGTCCTCCTTTGGGAAAGCATCCAAGGAAGCAGAATAAAAAGAGAAAAGAAAAAAAAAGAAGAGAAAAAGAATAAAATAGGCAAGTATTAATAGACAGATTTCAAATAAATGCAATTCTAATAACTATCTACAAAGACATAGAAACATAAAATTTAAAAAAAAGAGCTTTCAACAAAAATGTGGCATTACTGTGTATGTAAAAAATGTTTTCCCACCCTAACCCGCAGAAGCATAAACAATGTAACGAACAAAAGGCAAGTTAAAAATGAATGGACACTTTTCCATTTCTCAAACAGTGGGTGAAAAATAACTAAAACATATTAATTTTTTTCTGAGTAAAGATAAGCTGTATCATATACATTCTAACAGTATACCATATCAAAGTAAACTCTATTTTCATAGACTTGCTCTAATGACACCACCTGCAGGTGATGCAATGTAATGCATCTGTTTATATTATATTGCCCAATACACCCACAAAACTTTTTCAAAACGTGAGTCCATTAAATTAAACTCACAAATACATCGAGGCTACAGAAAACTTTCAAAGTAAAGATGAAATGCAATTTTTTCTGAGGTTTTTTTTTTTTTTTGGGTTTACATGAAATTTCAGAAGCCCTGTTCAGCTCTAATAAAGTGAAAATGCCATAAACTAATTCCATTGTGAATATGATTATATACAATAAAATTCATGACCCCTTTTAACTGAATTTGAATTGATACAAAGAGCAGTGATGCATTTCCCTTACAAAAGACAGGCACCTTAAAGCCGTATGAGAAAATTATCTCACCTCGTGACAGGTAACAAAACTATTCATGCAGTAACAGGATATTTGTAAAATGTTTTATAACACACTACAGTCCCAGATGAACAGCCAAAAACAATCACTGGATAATAGGCTTCCAAATATGGAACCTACCGCTCATGTACGAGTAGGCAGTTCCTTGCAAGGGACTGACCGAACAGAGCGTATTCTCAGATACCCTTCAGTTTTGCGGACAGCTACTGCAGCTGACTGCATGCAGATCAGAGGGAGAAAGATTTAACCTCACCTGTCTGAAAGTTGGATACCTAATCCAGATTAATCTGTAGATTGACTTTTTAAATCAACGTAAAATAAATTGACAGAACACTCTCATTGTAGCAAGGAAAGTGGCTGAGGTTTTTTCTGACCAAAAAATTGACTGACTTTATGTAAGAGAAACCTATGAATGCATAGAAAAGCTCTATTAAAAATTTAAAATTAAATAAGTGTTAATAAAAATTTGTTCATGTGGAGTTACACCTGAACAAAAGGATTTCTTCTTTCATACTATGAAAACCAAGTATGTTTGCTTCAAGCCATCACGCAGTAGAACTACGCACTATGTTTTCTTTTTTTTTTTTAAATTAACGCTGTGAATCCTAAGTATCTCCCCAGTCATTAAATACATTATTCTACTTTATACACACCCCATAACAAAGTGATGAATGAAACACTTAAGTAAAATGAAGCATGGAAAGCCAAATTTAAGGTGAACAATTTGCAGCGTGACAATGCCAAGGAGGCTTTTTCTTAAGAGTACACATCAGAAGACTTACATTGTTTGATCGCAGAGAGACACGACCTCCACATCGAGCACAAAACTTGGTCCGGCAATAAGAGCATAAATGGCCACAACCATCTGCAAACTTTGTTTTATGACAGATTCCACATGTTGGAGCATCATCCTTGTGCTCTCCCTGGTAACGGCGGGCTTCTTCCCCTATCTTTCTTACTTGCTCTTTATAGCTTTCAAATTGTTGATGCAACCTCCTGCATAGATGAAAAAAAAGTTTATATAGCAAGAATAGGAGGAAACACTAATACAGTGTATTTCTATCTTTCAATTTATAATTCTACCTAATATTCTTGGCATGTCCACAATAATTAATAAATGTACCTCATATCAAACACACACTGCACATTGAAGACTGTATACGAGAATCAAAAGGAAAAAAATTAAGAGACACACGTATTCCTGTTAGGTTTACTTCAAAGCTCATGAGCAAATCATTTCACTTGACCAGAAATTGCTCCAAATATAAAAAGATGGCAAAAAATGCAGTTTTAAACAGAAGTATCTAACGTACAGAATAAAAGCAAAAATATAATTGACTAAGTAAATGTGCTTTTTAATCAACATTATTTATACACCAGATGTTGAAAAAAAACCAAAAATAGATATCAATCTTCAGTTACAGTGTCACACATCTGTTTTCAAAATCCAAATTACTCAAACACATAACTTGAAGATTTCAACAGGCCCTTTTCCACAATCACACTGGCCCTACTGAGAACAATTTCCTATGTCATATCTATATATTAACAAACTGTAGCATTCTCTTTCATTAAGTATGAGAGACTATGCATGGTTTGCTGTGCCTCATTACAGAGATTTCTTCGAGCTTAGCTGTAGGAGTACATAGGAGTATTAGCAGGTATATAGATTCCTAAAATGAAGACTGGTGTTCAAAGAAGTAGCACTTCTCCTTCAGGGGGAAAAAAAAAAAAAAATTGTTTCCCCATCACTTTGCTTCCTGAATCCCTCCACTCTGAGCAGGACACAGGAAGGTTGGACACGAGCTCCTGAATCCCGAAATGAAAAGGAGCAGTGGACAGTAGGATAACCCTTTTTGTCACAACAAGCGCAGCTGCCATGTGAAACCCCACTCTGAAGGAGGAAAACATTCCAGGACTTAACACTGGACATATGTAAGTCAGAATGAAGAAGTTCCACAGAAACTTTCCTTCAAATGTGAGAAATACATGAAGCAGAAGATGGCCAGAAGGAGCAACACACTGCAAGTGTACTCTTCTTACAGTCTTCATGCACTTCAGGACACAAATATGATATCTAATTCATTCAGATTTTATACTGCCTATCAATAAATAACTGTAAAAATCACCTTCCAGATGTGTTCTGTAACCACAGAGTAACAAATACAGCAAAATTGAGTATTTAGTTTCAAAATGTTGACCAGAGAGAAATCTACCAAATATTTTTCTTAAAATAAATATTTATGTTTGAAATTGGTATCTTCAACAGTTTGCATTGAACATGTATTTTACAATAGAAAAAAATTCTTAACCTCAAGAAATATCTTCCAACAACACTATTTTGTAACAGCTTTTTGTTGCTCATTTGTTTGGGGTTCTTGAGTTGGTGACTTTAGCAGACAGTACATAAAAGTTAATGACCATGACTGTTACTCAGTTTCAACATCCTTTGACATGAAACTGAAAATCTTTGATCTGACCCAAGAGAAAATGTAGTTCTGTTCCTTAAGATTTGATCCTTTAATCCACAAGATCTATCAGCAGCTGTTGCATAAGAAAATAAGTAAGAACTGTTAAATACAAAATCTGAATTCATTAGGAAAACATCCCCCCAGGTGTAGATGTAAGAAAACATTAAAGTTCTAATAAGTTTACATATTTTACATATTAAATATTGTATCATTGCATTTTTTAATATTTACATACTTATATTTTCATATTGCTGAGCTAGAAGTCCCTTAATTTTTTGATCTGTATCATTCTAGCCACATTTTTTGCCTAATGGAGCTACCTTCTTGAACATTATTGCCTCAACGTAATACACTTTGGGTACCTCCAAGAGCACATCTTTATAACGTTTATATATGAAACTTCATCCTTGGCTAGAAACACAGAAGTGTCTGTATCTTTGAAACTGTTCAGATCGCCAACAGCATCATCTGACGGCCCAAGGCTTCAGTACTGCCACTTTCAGTATTACCACCTTTTAGTATGTAGCCAAATTCCTTACCAAGCAAGAAAGACCACTTCACACATCCGATTAAAACCATTCTCCTCTTCCTGGAGAAACTATAGGAAAAGTATCTACGAATGACACACTCTGTTTGGGAACACAGCACAGAGAATTTGAGAAACCCGAAGGATAAGCTTCCTCCAACAATATTATTGCCATACTTCACTTGTGCAGACCTCGCCCCACTCTTAACAAAACTGCCGCATCTACCTGCTTAAGCTGGCTCTGCTAGTGAGGGGATCTGGTATTTCACGTTCACACACCTAACACGCACGCGTGCGAGCAAAAAAAGATTGTACCATGAGTGAATCTTAGGGCACATCTGATCTCATACGACTAAAAAAAGTACTTTCCGTTGCTAAAATTCTGGAAGAGACCGAGTCACTTGAAGAGGTACCTGAGAGCACCACGGCTGTGACTCCATTTCCGCACTCTCAAGCATCAGTCTCAGTACTGCAGCGCATGTACGTAAGATGCTGGCACCAGCACCGGCTGTGCAAGACAAGAACCAATATACAGCCTTCACACGTACACCTGAAAACTTCACCCGCTTTTACAGTAGGTCAGTGCAACATATATTGAGGTTTCTAGGGTTTTTTTCTCCAGGAAAACAAGGTAGGTTCCTCTACCCTTTTTCTTCGAAAGCATTTCACACAAAAAAAATGCTTTAGCTGCGTGTCATACACGTTCCACGTTTTCATTTGAATATGCAATATGTTTACATTAATAGTGCATACTAGTAAAAAAAATTACTGATGGGCAATTCGTCAAAGCTTTACTCGTGTTTTCATGTACTTAATAGAAACTGTAAGCCTTGGAGGACACTCATGTCATAAGCATCATGCACACCTCAAACTTTTCAGACAGCTCACTGATATAATTAGTAGACAGACAATGGACACTGAGGTAATCTGTAATACTGACTGACCAGAAAATGGCATATCAAACCACAAAGAAGTTACCATTTATGCTGTTGGGTTTTTTTTGAGCTGCCCCAAGATGTATATTTATACTACTTCAATCATTTCCACTAAGCAGATATTATAATTACGATCCAATAATGTAATTTTTAATTAACAGACTATGTTACCGCATTTTTGCTGTTTTAAGTTTTAAATTCCTACAGTATATACCTATCTGAAATATTTGCAAATACAAACTGAAGATACAAAAGTGACGAAATGGTGCACTTGCATACGTATGCTCTGCCTGCACAGATTTTCTAAAAATGATGAAGATTTAGGTCACCTTTATGCACACTTAAATTTTAAATGATTGTTAAATGTAGTGTAAGACCGTACATTTATTTACCTACTTAAAAGTCCAGCAGATGGCACTACAGATTGCATTTGCACTCTCCCACTTCAACTATTCAATCTTGCAATCTGAAACACCTGATTTAACACTATAAAAATATTATGCCCTGTCATGAGTTCATGTTAGTAGGAAAAGTGCCACCTTCTAAGTGACACAGCCTTAAGTAAGTATCCACCAGCGGCTACTGCACGTATGGTTAAGGCTCAGTAAAACACAGTACTTGGCCTTGTTCACCTATGCCACACAAGCACATCATCACCCAGAGCTTAGGCAATATTCCTCATTAGGTAAGTGAGGCTTTTATGAAGTTCTGGTCATAGCGTTCTTCTTTATGGTAAATAAAGATTTGAGAATGCGAACTCGGGTTGTGTTTCCACACATTTTCTTCAAAAAAAGCCTGGTACTTCATTAAGATGATGGTAGGGTAACGTATTTGGACAAAACAGCCAGATTCCTAGCGCTTCTGAATATTTAATATGCCCACAAAGACAACTGCTAGATCTAAAAACCCGCAGACAAACACCAAGTGGCTACGTTGAAGCTGCAATCTGCAAACCCACTGTTCAGCAGCCCCAAGAAGCTGGAATTACCTCGGTCTCAGTGGGTGCCTCACGGCTCTGCCAGAGCCGCGGGCATTCATCCCACGCAGGTGTTCCCAGAAGGAGCAGCTCCGCACCTAGCTTTTGCCTCAGCCCCACTACACCTTATCTGGGAAGTGCTGTCAGCTTGTGATGGGTTTGGGGAACACACGCTTTGAACAGCAAAGCCAACACGGGCAACCTTAGCAAGATCCTATGGATAGTATTGTCTGAGTAAAGGGGAACGAGGAGCTTAGGGGGAATCTAGCTTGTGTTAACTGGAAGAACAGCTGAAGTTTAGTGAAGAAGTCTAGATATATTTGCTGGTTACTTCAGGCACCATCACATCACATGTAAATCCGTTTTTAAAATGTATAGCCTCCGCAGAAGTATGACAAACTAAGGTTGAATAGTAGATAAGCATACCTAGCTCTACAGCTCCCGAGTGCTTGACGTAGTGACGTTACTGTTAGCATACAGTAGGATATAGAAGGATATATCAGAAGGATATAGACCAGTTGGAGCGAGTCCAGAGGAGGCCACGAAGATGCTCAGAGGGCTGGAGCACCTCTGCTATGGGGACAGGCTGAGAGAGTTGGGCTTGTTCAGCCTGGAGAAGAGAAGGCTCCGGGGAGACCTTATTGCAGCCTTCCAGTACCTGAAGGGGCTACAAGGAAGCTGGGGGGGACTTTTTACAAGGGCCTGCAGTGACAGGACAAGGGGTAACGGGTTTAAATTGAAAGTGGGGAGGTTTAGATTAGATATCAGGAAGAAGTTCTTCCCAGAGAGGGCGGTGAGGCACTGGAACAGGTTGCCCAGGGAAGCTGTGGATGCCCCCTCCCTGGAAGTGTTCAAGGCCAGGCTGGATGAGGCTTTGAGCAACCTGGTCTAGTGGAAGGTGTCCCTGCCCATGGCAGGGGGGTTGGAACTAGATGGTCTTTAAGGTCCCTTCCAACCCAAACCATGCTGTGATTCTGTGATTCTATGATACTGGAAGTCCAGGGTATATTTGAATGTTTGGGGTGTGCTGCTTTTTAGCATGGATGATACCTGGTTTGGTCATTTTGTGAAGATCAATCAAATAAGTGTGGAATGTACCGATATTGCGAAATACTGTACTTCTGAGTGAATTGTGATGTTAATATTCCTTTATTATCTCTATTGTTATATTTGTATTTTTTTATTCAGTGTGAACTGCCATTTTAAGAGTAGAGTGTAGTATTTGTCTGTAAAAAACACTCGCTGA